AGCGCTCTTACAGATGTTGTATTAGTTGATATAATGCATGTCTCTGATGAATATGTATGGAGTTTCAATGACAAGTAATCAGTTTTTATTTTTTTATATTGTTACAAGAGCAATCTCAGAGGCCTTGGGGGGGAGAGTATTAGCGCTGCCAGTATCAGTTGTCAAATGTACTGGTACTCTACTTGGGAAGTCAGGTTGGAAGCCAGTTCTAGCTTGCCGGTTCACATTAATGAACAAGGAAAAAGAGATCTGTCAAAGTGTTGAACTTGATAGAAATTACAAGGACTCAGAGGCACAGTTTGTCTTACATTGTCCAAAAAATTTTAAGTTTCCTTATTTTTTCAGGGACCTGTTACTCTGCTTAGATATGCTCTTTCATATAATGCAATGACATTACTTCTATGTAATATTTGCTAGTACAATTGTGTAGGTGGAATCTTGATTTTCATTCTGCTTTGCATTACCATTGTATTCCATATTACATTTTGTTACTCGAATAACTGTCTTGTTTTTTGAACAGTGGGATATACCTTTATTGATGAAGATCCAAAAATACTATGTTAACAGATATTCTGAAATATCTGTACTTTTTTAGATCATTGAAGTTGGATTATGTGAAGTCTTTGAACTGATAAAGGAGACGAGATTTTCTCATCCATCCTTGTGTCTCAGGAGCCTACAAGCCCTACTTAATGTGCTCCAGGGCCAGCAACCAGAAGGCCTGCAATCAGAGCCTCCTGAAGTCCTAGGTAATATCTCATCTGTTACTGTATTGATATTAATATACATCTGTTATTGTATTGAACAGAAAAAAAATGGGTCCTAGCAGGTATTTGTGAGATAGTAAAATGTTTGTTCTCAACAGACGGACTTTATACTGGAGTATAAACTCCTTATGGTGCATGTAAGCAGTACTTTCTCGGTATTAATCTTTTGTGGAAAAGGAATGTTGACATGTAAAAGAGGAGTGTGTGTGTATAAAGTCATATTTTGTTGCTGTGTAATGCAGAGTTTCACTGAAACGTAGTAAACCTTACAAATTGTGATTCATCTTACTGAAGCTATAAAGCGCTTGATCTTCTTGAAAAGAAGATAGTTCCACAGTAAACTTCTCTTGCGATCCGCTGCTTAGCTATTTAATGTCGTAATTTATATAAAGGTGCTAAACAAAGTCTCAGAATTCTTGCTTTTTTTTTTTGACTCTGGCCATCCAGAAGTTTGTCTGAAAATTCATTTTGCTTGTAATGATATTGAAAATAAAAGTTGAACACCTGATGGCTCTGAGTGTATGCTTGATTATGTCCTTTAAGTTAAAATCCAGTTATCTTTTGTTAATTCATAGTTTTTACTGGTTTATGGAACTTCAAGGAAGGCTAAGTTGTAGCATCTGTTGTTTAAAAAATAATAATAAAAAATATACAAAAAAGTTTCAATGTATATTGTCCTACGTTATGCCTCAACAGTAATCTATTTCCAAATACAATAGTAATTTGCTACAGAAAGCTTTTTATTTTGTATTGATGCACAGAGTATTAAAAAGCTACAAAGAAGGCTTTGTGTTGATTATTGCCTTAGTGATAATTTGTATATACTATCAAAAAATTGAAGTGGATTTCTGTTCACACCTTGATTATTACAGATGTTCAGCCACTAAACAGTGCTTGAAAAGAGGCATGCGATCAAAATAATTTTCAAGCTTTGATTTGAAATGCTTATTTCTGAGAAATGGAATGTGCTTCAACATGAGTAATGGTCATAAAGATTAGACAAGGTTGGTCAAGACCTACACATCATCTCAGTTATGAGGTAGACTGAATAGGCAGGTAAAGTAACTCCTTCTGGCCTTTCTTGTAGAAGGACTTAGTTTTTCTTGGTCTCTGACCATTGTTATTGTCAAAATTCAACGTTTTCTGACTGAAAAAGAATGAAAAGTTAAGGATGTTGTAGGCCTATTTAAATGGAATGCGTTCTTTTCTGTCTGGAAATAGGGCTAAACTTGGCTGAGGAAAGATGTCGTGTATTTTATAAGTTTAATTTCCCATTGAGTGGCAAATTGTTTGGTATGATTTTGTGACTTGTCTGTAATTGCTGTGTTTTATCTGCAGAATCCCTGTTCCAGCTTCTTCTGGAGATAACTGTCCGTAGCACGGGAATGAATGACAGTACAGGACAGTCCTTGACAGCACTTTCCTGCGCTTGTCTCTTCAGTTTGGTAGCTGCATGGGGAGAGACGGGAAGAACATTGCAAGCAATCTCTGCTATCCTCACCAATAACGGCAGCCATGCTTGTCAAACTATTCAGGTCTTGCACTAAAACTCTTCTTTATCTGGGGATTTGTGTAAATAATGCGTACGTGAGTTCTGGCAAGATCTGTTGTGTACATTCAGTTAACTTTTTCCCCCCTTACTGTTTTTGAGATGAGTAGGTATTTGTTTTTCTTGAGTAGAAGATAGAACAGAAAATACAACGTTTAAAAAATAATGATGTTTTTGACTCACTCACTATTTCTTTTATTGAATAGGTGCCAACCATTTTAAACTCTCTTCAGCGGAGTGTACAGGCCGTTCTGGTGGGCAAAATCCAAATCCAGGACTGGTTCAGTAACGGGATTAAGAAGGCAGCATTGATGCACAAATGGCCATTGAAAGAAATATCTGTAGATGAAGATGACCAGTGCCTACTTCAGAGTGATGGTTTTTTCCTTTATCTCTTGTGTAAAGATGGGCTTTACAAAATCGGCTCCGGATATAGCGGGACAGTGAGGGTAATGTGATTGCTTCTTGTCTGATGAATGATAACTAATATTTTCACTTCTATGATGCCCTGTTTCCATTGACAATCTTTTGTGGTTTACTAATGATCAGTTCTTTCAAAGTTTGTCTAAATTATTCTGGTGATTTCTATGAGAATTTTACAGTATATTCTTACAATTTTTACTTCTCAATACAGATGAAGACATTGCTATTTAGATGATAAATGATTATGTGTGAAATTGTCACTCTGATATTTGTTAAATGTTTGGAGTTTTTTGCTTTTCAGGGCCATATATACAATTCCACATCCCGCATCAAAAACAGAAAGGAAAAAAAGTCTTGGTTAGGCTATGCTCAGGTAGGTAAATATTTAAAACATAAAACGTGCACCCCACCCCCTATCCCTCATGAGTAATTTAAGTAGACCTTGGCTTACAGCAAGCTTATACAGATACTGTATTTTTCCTTTGGCTTTAGTTATAAAAATCATTTTTTTGGGGACTGATTTTTAAATTGTGGAAGACGAGGAACATCTGATGGTACTGGTATATAGAAAGGAGTAATGAAAAGTGTCATTGATTTGTGTTGGCACTGTAAAGACTTTATCAAAATAGGATGGTTTAACACATAAGTTTATGAATTATACAGTCAATTGATGTATGCTGCTTAAATAAAGAAGTCAGTGCATATAAAAATGTGCCATGGCAACAAAATAGTGTAAAAAACACTTGAAATATCTATTTATGAAAATAAATTGATTTTAAAACATTTGCAGTAAAATAGGGAACTGCTGTGTTGATTGGGGGAGGATTGAGAGTGCGTAAACCATAAGTAGAGATAATTGTTAACGTTACCACTGTAGATTAAACTATATTTGGATGTTTTATTTTTTTAGAGTTAGCTTCTGGAGTATCAGCCACCTTTTCTTATCTCTTTGCCATTCATTATAAAAATAGTGTTGTTTGATTTTGTTTTGTTTTTTTTAGAATCCTATTATTACCTTTGAGTGCTTGCTCTCAAAAAACCCCACCAACTTCAAAAAACCTCATAAGAAACCAAAACTTAAATTTCAGAGAAGAGTGAATTTACTTCATTTTTTTAACTACTAAGCAATTTTTATTAAATATTTACTATTAACTGAGTGATCATCTTGTCCCAGTGTGAAATTAAGTGTACTCCTTGCCATGCTTTTGAAGTGAAATAGTTCGTTACAAATACATATTCTATTATTTCAGTTATCATATATATATATATATATATATGAAATCTGGATTTGTTTGTTATTAAGACAGATCACCAAAAGGTATATTGGTGTGGTACAAATGTGCATGGAACAAATTTGTTCAGGAGCCTGTTTTATCAGTTTGGAAAGGAATTGCATCCATACAGTTTCATTATATAGAGTTACACATTTGGATATTCTGAACACAGCTATAAATATATTTGATGATGTTCTTCGAGTGCTTGTGCAGATGTGTGCACTCACACGGTGACAGTACCCAAAGACACTGCTAGTTGGAAAAATGTTGCTCTGGGGCAATATTTATAGGAAGATCTGTAGGTTGCACTAATTGCTATGTATGTGTCCGTAAAAGAGGTAAGATGTGCCTTCAGTCTCATTTCTCTTCAGGTGTTCGTTAAGTTAGCTCAAATTGAAGTGATTTTTCTTACTTCATCATATAAGTTATTTTAAAATTAAGCTACTTTTAATGTTCTTTACTTATCTTTTCCTAGTTTATGTGGGTTTGTTTTTCCTCATTTCAGAGATTGATTTATCCAGGAAAATTCGAGTAGCTTGTATAGAAGGAAAAGGGTTGGTTGGATTTTTTTTGTTGTTGTTAGATGATTGTAATTAGGGTCTCTGACTCTGACAAATGGATATATTCTGAGGTTAAGCCTTAGTGACCTCCCTGTGAAATGCATCCATTCTTAGATATGTAGAATCCCCACCTGAGGCCAATCATGCTTCAAGTAAGTGCAAGCCATTGTCATATCTCCTGCATGACACTGCTGTTGTCAGAATCATTATTAGTCGTTATTCGTATTGGCCTCTGCCACCCTCTTGTAGATGAATGTTACTTCGCTTGGCCTCAGTCACCTTGAATGAGTATGTTGATAAGTGCCTTTAGTCTTTTTCCCTTCCTGTAATTGCTTTTATAGTAGAAGTACTTTCTAAGTGTAAATTCCCCAACTGTGTTTCTACTGTGCTTCCTCAAAATCTTTGAAGGATTCACAGGTGTTGTAGGATCAAAAAAGATACGAGAGTAAAGTTGCCATATTGGCTCTCAAGAATCTGTGTGGGCTTATGCAACCTATCTAGTTTAAGCTAAAGGAAAATTTATTTGACTGCATTTATTAAAAAGTGCACTCAAAGTTATAGATATAAACAAAAAACCTCAAGTGTGAGTTTCAGGTAGGCGAATCTTTTTACTAGTAAACCTTCTGAACTGGTGACTGAATCAAACCTTTAAAAAATACATAAGTATGAAAAGAGACAAGATGCTGTTTTGATATACCAAAGGAGACTTCTTGATGTGGGCTGCTGACCTGAATAGGTAATTTTGAGGATATGAAGGTGTTTTGTATGTGGATAAACAGAAAGAGGAAATCATTAGTCCTGAATATCTCCCTTCCCCTAGGCCTGGTTAGTAGCCAGGAGGTGAGCAGTATGAGAACTCATTGTATGCGACCTTGTGTCATGGCTGCTGTCACCAAAATCACCATGCATCTTGCAGGAATTTCTTTGAAGAGCTCAGAAATAATAAATACATGGAATCTTGTTGGTGTGGGTGTCAAAGTAGTGAATTAACATTTTCGAAGGATTACCTAGTTTGTAGTGCACATATTAATATTCATTAATGATCAGTCTTCTATATAAGGTGATATGTGTCTCCTTTCTGAAATTCCTGTGAATCTTTTGTTGATTTAGAAAGTGAGGACAGGAACATGGTTTTTGCTGTGGCTTTTAACTGTAATTGTATATACATACGAAGAAGAGAATTACTACATGTAGCTTGAAAAGCTGTATATGAGCATCAGCACAATGACTTACAGCACATAGAAAGCGTGGAGGAAGGAGGTCAAGTTTCTGGTTTTTACTGCAGAATTTGATTAGTGGAAAAAAGTTGATTACCAAAACGAAGCAAATTTGATGTAAAAAAGGTTTCCCAATTTTCAAAACAATACCTAAAATAATAACAAAACAATATTGTTTGATGTATTTAAGAATATTGTCATACCAATATATATATTCTTACTCTTACCAGGGTTATTTATTATATAGAGATGCGAATAATCACAGTATGACAGCCATAAGAATAAACCCTGAAACTTTGGAACAAGACGGTACGGTTGCTTTGCCAGGTACGAACCTCTAAATATGAGATGATGATTATTGTTTGCTGTTTACATGCTATGTATTTTCAGGTAATCAGAAAAGAAATTGAGAAAGATTTTGAGATCACAAAGAGACTGCTTTTTTATGACTTTGGTTTGCTGCATTAGACTAGCTGCAGTACTTCATTTGGAAGTCTCGCATCTTACTCCGACCACTGGAAGAATATTGCAACATTTAAGAATGTATGGTCATGTTAGTTTAAAGACTCCAAGAGCTTAAGTTCCTTCTTAAACGATTCTTATTTCTTCCTTGTTTGAACTTCGAGCGTTTGGCTCAGATATGATTTTGTTTCCAGTATCTCTTACATGTAGGTAGTTCTGAACTATGACCAAAACAATTTGACCATGCTTCTGATGTTTAAATGGGTGGTGGGGTTTTGTTTATTTGTTTTGGGAAATTTTTGTAAGGCGGTTTTTGTTCTTGTTTTCTCCCCCCCAGAGGAGCATCATAACTTGAGTCTTTGTTTAGAAAATGAGGATGTTCCTGGAATATGCTTTAAGGGCCTCCTGGTGAAACACATCTGTTCTTAGCCACTCCTGTAACAGCAGAAGGGCACAAGAATATCTTTCAATCAAACAACGACAGACTTATTCTATAGATCAGAAGAAAGATTTTGTGTTGCTGCTTCCTGACTTAAATAAGAAGGCACTGACTAAAACCTCCAAAATATTGCCTAGGCTGTCTGTATTTCAAACACTAACAGTGATTTTTGAAAAAAACTATGAATGTGGAATATAGTCTATGCAACTTCCTGCAAGTCCTTAAAATGCGGATGTCTGTTTAAGCTGCTTGGTCTTTGTAGAGCTGTATGAGAAATTTGAGCAGGCGTTTCAAGGAATTGTCTTGTAGAATTGTTTATGTATTTTCTTCACCTCAAGGCAGCTTCTTCATCTAGTAGGATCCTTTGAGATACTTAATTATGTTACCATTGGTAAACAAATCAGCGCTCTTCATGCAAGTCTTGAGAGACACTTGAGCACATTTAAAGTCTGCACCTCTGAGCTGTTAGCTTTCTTTTGCAAATCCGGGTGACCAGTATGCCTTCAAAAATGTAATAACTTTTTCAGTGCAGAAGCAAATCTTATAACCGTGAGAATACCCATTCAGAAATCCCTCACACGTTGCATTTTGTATGGTCTGTGATGTTGTCAAAGTGGATACTGAATGTTCTTCATAATTACTACCCTTTGTATTTCAGACCTTGAACTTTGCTGTTTCACTTTCTGTACTTCTACACATTTGTCTCAGTGTTATATTGTGAGCAGATACGGCCTTGTTCTTTTGGCTAGGACAGATTCAAAGGGGTCCACTTCTTATTTCTATTTCCCATTAGAAAGAAAGAAATGAAGGTGCAGGGGGAGGGTATGTGACCTATCCTGAAGAAATCTGAGCAGGTACATAACTCTAAAGAGTAGCTGCCCCACTATAATCTTAATAATGACTTGCAGCATGTTGTAGTTCTGAAAATTCACACCGGATAGAACTAGAGGGCAGCAACCTTGCTAACAGCTGAACACTGATATGGCTCCAACTATTTCCTCCTAGTTGGTATGGTATTCAGATATGGCTCTATCTGGAGTTAATCTCTTTCAAATGCCTGGGTTGGTGATAATGCATTTAAATGAGGTTTTCATATTTACTCTCACAGGGATGTATAGGAGATTAGGAGTTCATTAGGAGATGTGATTAGGAGTTGATCCTAGCTAGAAGTCGCGTAACCTTAGAAAACTTGATGAACTATGGGACATTATCTTTTCCTTTCTCAGATGGTAGGATCCACCAGCTTCTTGAAACCGTAAACTTCCATTTCCAAGGACAGTCTTTCCACTCTGATAGATGATCTAGCAAATCTGAAAATGTGTCTGGAACTACCAGACTGTGTGTCAGCGTTCTTGTATCTAATGCCTTTGCCAAGCTTTATACACTGGCTTTGAGCTGTGGATCTGTCTTCCCGGTCCAAATATCATAAAAGAATCCCCAAGTTCTATGAGACTTTCTAGGTGATTTGACCTGAGTTTACGGAGAAGTTTTTCTTGGCTGTTTCTTAAACATTAACGCTTACTACATACCTTAAAAAAAGGTTGCTGTGTTCAGCTGAAGAGTTTGAAGTTATATGGTATATGGTTTCATTGTTCATTGAAATTACACATGAATATCTTGGAGCTCAGGACTATTCACTTAGTCTGAAAAGTACTGCTAACTGAGGGTAGCCTAGACAACTCAAGAGTACTTATTAACAGGCACAGGATGGACTACATAAATACCAAAGGTAATGCTTGATCTTCTCTTGCAGCCTGTAATGAGACTGTGATTAACAGATATCTGTAGTTATATTCTTTAAGTAAAATGTAAGTCCTTTCTTTTGTAGTAATCTCCAGACAGAAACCTTGGATATCTTTGTCCCCAGAGTAATTTCCAAAGTCAGTCTGAATAAAACTACAGTTAATCATAAGAGCTCCTTGCTAGCCATGACACACTACTATCCTACTTTTTGCAGATATTCCATTTGCCTTCCATTTTCCACTCTTCCCATCAATTTGATATTTAATGCTGGGCCCAGATGTTTTGTAATCAAGTGCTAATTTTTAGGAAGTCTTCTGAAGGACATACGTTAAAATAAACCCCAAAACATCCCTGTTCCAGATTTACTCTATGAGCACACCTACCAAACACAAATAATCCTCAAAAATGTTTACTAGGAGTCTCACCTCCTCATGAAATGACTCAAGAAATAGGCCAAACAGTGTAATATGAACCCACTGGTGGTCAGAATATTTTATTTCCTTGGCTGTTGTGCTATGTGAGCATGTGATTTTCAGGCATTCCAGGGATCTTAATACTTACCAACTTCCTCTAACCTTTCAGAATTGTCATTTAGATTAGTTTTGGAACTTCTCTTCAAGTTGTTGGCAACTCTTTTGTTTTATCATTAATATCACTTCGCAGCGTAGAGAATTAGTAATGTGAACGAACTTTGGTCATTAAATATGAGATTATTTTTGAGAGCGCCATATTTCAAACTTCAGTGCATCTGCCATTCTCCATCCTGCTTGCCGCTTACCCTCTTTGTGATTCGTACCTTTGTGTGCTCTAAGGGGGAGGTTGTCTCCTGTAGGTCTGTTGCTTCTGGATGTGAGAATTAGAGAAGGCCACCTAATGCATATTCCATTCCTGGTAAGATACTGTATTGAACTGGGCAGTGCAGCAGGAAAAAATAAACATTTTAATGAGTTTGTGAATACTGTGGGCTTTTTCCAGCTGTATTATTTTTAATAGAACACTCTAGCTAGCTAGTAAAAAATAGCAAACTTTTGCTGGTTATGCCAGAAAGATATGATGTGTGCTTCATTTAGCATGAAATTTGTTAGATAAAATGACTGAAACTGGGTCTTTGGTTGGGTTATGAAGCAGCTATGTAGAGTGTAAAGTAGCTGTCCTGTAGTATTTTTGGAAGAGTTCTCTTTCCTGCATGTAATCAGTGAAACAAGCGCCTTACAAGCCCTATAATATCAACCTCTTTGTTAGTAACACCATCAGCAGAGCAAGAAGGGTGGAAGAGAAGGTGTAGGGACATACTTTTAAAGTTGTAGAGAAAGTGATCTTTTTCTGTTTTCCCTCATATGGGCAGAATTATTTCCCTGCCATTTTTTCCTGGAAATAGCTGACCTGTTTTCAATAAATGTGTGATACATTCAAGTATATGCTTCATAGTTTTCTGAAAAAGCTAAATTTTCAGTTAATAGTTTGGCAAATATATAAAAAAAATTAATAAAAAATGGAAAAAGGAGATGAATAATGAAAGTTCGATTGTTTCACTTATTTCTGTAGGTTTTATATGCTACGCTGAGAAAACTTTAAAGACAATGACCTTTATTTATAAAAGAAAAAAACAGAAAGACTAACACTCCCAGAAAATCAGATTTAGTTATGTTACAGTAGTTTAGAATACCCCTCACAGGTGAATACTAAATGCTTTTGCAGTTGTGTAAGGGATTAGCCCAATATTTTTCATACAATGGAAAGTGCTTTAATAACTCTCAAAGGGACAGAAGAGTATTACATGCTTTCGGTAAGAGAGGAGATCCAAGCATAAAATAACGTGTTATCAGAACAGTATGATCTCTCTTTAGACAAACTAGAACGCTCGTAGTCTGATTGTCGTGAGAATGAATTCGACAGAAGCAGAGAACAGTGTGTGTGTGTTGATAGAAACTGATGCAGTGCACTTCATCTTTCTCTCACAGATTGTCATACTGAAGGGCAGAATATCCTCTTCACTGATGGAGAATATATTAATCAAATAGCAGCATCTAGAGATGTAAGTGTTACATAGGATGGGTAAACTCTTTTTCTCTGAACTGAATTGTTTTATTTTACAATACATAAAGCTTCCTTTTTGCTTAATGTTTGGCTTTTTTCTTTGCTAACACAGCTAAGGAAGAAATCCATGTAACTAGAGGTAATGAGAAACTGCTGTAATTGTGCATAAAGGAGCAGTATTTTGGTATTTATCCGCACAATTTTGATTTGTGATGATTTTTCAGATTTTTTTGATTTTTTTTCAGATGAGTTTTAAGAAAATTATGCTTTCTGAGGGAAAAGATCTTATACATGGAATAATGGCTTTTTAACGTGTTATTCTACAGGGCCTTTGTGGGATAAGCTTCTTAGAGTTTAATTGCAATTTTATTCTCATTTAATTTCCCATAATTGCTTTGATACTTGTTGGAGAATTTCAGCCAGATTTAATAGAAGAGGTACGAAAGATACTATATTCCAATAGATTTTTATGTGAAAATTGCCTATTGTCAAAAGCTGTGGAAACCCAAATAAGTACTTTTTCTAAGGGCAAAACAGTTCTAGCTGTTCTGTGTTTTGTTCAGCAAACAGTTATTCCATTCTTAGTTCTGAACTACTCACTGTTTTTTTGACAGTGAGAAAATTGTAAAACAGGGATGGGGCAGGGGTGGGGTGAGACAGGCTTGGCAAGAGATGTCAGGCGTGCAACTACAAGAAAACCAGGATTAATCCATTTCCCTGCTAATGGAACAACCTTTCTTTTAACATGACCAGTTGATACTTCATCTGCACTTAGAGTCCTGTTTTAGCTACTCTTTAAAGCAATCACTCTGAAATTGTATGCAGAATTTTGGGTTCTGAGTCTGGAGAAGTTGAGGGCTTAAAAGATAGATGTAAATAGTTCTAAAAGCAATACTTCTGTAGTGAGATTCAGAGTTAATTGCTTCTGTAGCAATTCACTATTTTCATAGTGTTCATAGTGTTTTCATAGAATTCAGTTTATGTTTAAGGTCTGTCAGATGCTTATCAGCTCATCCTGTTTGGCACTTCTTTTCTCCTATAATAAACATTACTTTATCAAAGTGTCCTCTGATAATTTAATCTGAAATAGTATTTTACTAATGCACTTAGGCCATGAAAAGTAAATTAATGCATTTATCATACAGTATAAAGTAGATTTATTTTTTTTTTTATTGCAGGATGGCTTTGTAGTGCGAATATTTGCAACAAGTACTGAGCCAGTACTGCAACAAGAACTGCAGCTTAAGCTTGCAAGAAAATGCTTACATGCTTGTGGCATCTCATTGTTTGATCTGGAGAAAGACTTGCACATTATCAGTAAGTCTTTGAAGGTTAATAACAAGTGTAGTAATTCAAATAATAAAACTGAAACACTACCCTTCCCTTTTTTTGCCTTTATTATATGCAAGAAGATAGAGCTTCATTATAAACATGTGGTGAAGTACAAGAGTTTTGAAACCACTTAAGCATTATTTGACTCGTAGTAATTGATACTCTCATTTTGAACCACTTTTCTATCTATAGCACTACCCATGGTTTCCCAGTATTTTCCTGTAGTTGTATAATAAATATATAATTGTTTGAAGCTTGGACTTCATAACAGTGTTTGTATAAGACATAATTAAGCTGTACATCTTCTTGCTGTGGGTCAAAGTTAACAAAAGTTGAAAGGACGAGTGGCTGGATTAATGGAAAAGAAATGCATTGAAAAATACTAAATAAATTGAAACCACCTTTGCATCAGAATTTGAGATGCAAAATTGTTGGTGTCTACAAAGGTATTTTGGAGAAATATCACTTTGCCTTTGCTAAGGGTTTTTTTGCTCTGTTAGGTATTCACTTTTGGCACTATCGGAACAAATACACGTTTGGCTACGTGGACCTTTACTCTGACCAAGTGCAGTTGCTCTTAGGCTAGTGCTTTTTTCCTCTTTGAACAACTCTGCCAGGTCTAGCCAGTAAGCCTTCTTGTGGCGATAGAACTTTGTTTCACTCGTGACTTTTTTAGAACCTTTGTTATGACAAACTCTTCCTGGCAGAGTTAGGTCCATAAACTGGTCTGTGAACTGCCCGGTTAAACTGTCCGGCTAACGCAATCTTACTCGCCCAGGTACAGGGTTCGATGAGGAATCTGCAGTCCTTGGTGCTGGAAGAGAGTTTGCACTAATGAAAACTGCTAGTGGAAAGGTACTGAAAATACTCTGTAGTAAATAGCAAATTGAGTCAATGTATTTCTACATGTTTTTTAATTTAATGGTTATTTTCCACAATTCCTTTTTGCCTTTTAAGTATGTTAGAATGAATGTATATGACTGTATTTAAACGTATATTCAGAGCCCACTTTAAAGAGGAAAAAGGCAAATGGTTGTTCGAAAACATGAACAGATGGTGTTGGAATCTTTGAGAAACCTGAGGCTTGACTGTTTGGTTGAATCTATAGGAGTTTCTACAGTCAATCTTAGAGAAAGTGTGGGGCTTTGTTTTAGATTTGGGGGAGAGGGGAATTTTCTTCTGTCTACAAATGATATATTAGCACTTTTAAAAAATTTTTGACCTCATTTCCCATAAACAGTTTGGCCATAGTAGTTTATTTAAATCCCAGCCTGATTTTTCTGATTCTTCAGAGAATTATTGACTTCCCCTATGCAAAGTGTTCAATTAATTTTTTTAAAGCGTATTCTTAATTGTTCGATACATTGGTTCTGCTCAGTGGAGACTGTTTTTCAGAGACATTTGCATATTAATTGAAATTAAGAAATAATTTTGCTTAATGTCACTATGACTTTTTACTTTATTTACTGTGTTTCTATTTCAGTTTGGGAAACTAATGTTATTTTACTTGTACAAGTATACTTCTTTGTTTTCCAATGTTCAGAATTGTGTTTCTTTATGGGAATGAAGGTCTTGCTCTGCTTCTATCAAAACAGTGATACTGGTGAAAAGTTCATAAGTATGAACTTTTATTTTTTCCCTAATAAATTTTGCAAATGAATCTGATCAAGCAGAACTGGTCAGACATTAGAGGAGACAGATTATTTGATCTTCAGACTAACAAATGCCTCTTCAGTATAAAATTAACAGATTTCCTAGTTTTGATCTCTGAAGTTGTGTGTTTAGGTATGAAATACACTTCATAAGACAATGAAAAATGGCTTTAGGTGCCCACATAGGTTAACACACCCATTTTATAGTACTGTTGAGTAGCATGGTTCTAGAGGAAACTTTTTAGTCCATATTGGTAGTTTTGTGTTTGTTCATGTGAAATATTTTATTCTCTCTTACTGTTTATGTACTCAGTGGCCACTGTGCATTTACTGAAAAAAAGTTTTGAAAATGTGCTGAAGTATATTAAAAGTTGTAGTAATTTGGTGTTTTTTACTCTTTTTATTATTATAACACTGTCTTGTTTTTACACAGATCAGACATTTCTCTTAAGTGTTTTAAATGCTTGGTTTCCTCTGAGTAGTTTCTTCTGAACAGTTTTGCTGTGTGTTCAACTCATCTAGCCAAACAATTATATATGAAAACTGACTCTGTGGCACAGTAGAAAGCACGCTTCAAAACACGGAGAATCTATTCAGAATGTTTCCCCTTTTAAGTCAAAATTCATGAGTTTAGGACAGAGATAGTGAAAATGGTGTAAACAGTAGCAGGAAAGGTTCTGTATGGTTTGAAATGACAGGATTTTAAAACAATGCAAGTTCAAAAATTATGCAAGTTTAAAGTGCTGTGGCATAACTGAAAACGATAAACTATTTTCTCCTAGGTTTATTACACTGGCAAATATCAGAGCCTGGGAATCAAACAAGGTGGTCCTTCAGCGGGAAAATGGGTTGAACTCCCGATCACAAAATCTCCAAAGATTATTCAGTTCTCTGTTGGACATGATGGCTCACATGCCTTACTTGTTGCTGAGGATGGAAGCATATTCTTCACAGGTTCTGCTAGTAAAGGAGAGGATGGCGAATCAAGTACGTATTAGCTTGCTTGATCAGTGGTTGATAAAAGCCTGTTAACTAGGCTATTACTTTATAATTTGAAAGGAAGCATTTTAAACGTTTTCCAAGAACATGTAAGCATGCTATTGGGTTTGAATTTTATGCTAGCCACAGGTCCTGACAACCAGTGCAGGTGTCTTTCCATCTGTAGATTTTGATCTCAGTTTTAACAGAGTTTGGATTGTGTGGTAGCAGTGTTATTTTAGAGTTATCCTCAGAAATGACAGTCGTAAGTTTGATGAAGAGGCCATGCCATCTGCCTGGGACTTTGTCGGAAAAACTGAAGAGCCAAACTTTTTCCTCTTCAATGTTGTTTTAGACAACTTTGGAAACGGGTGTTTTGGCAGCTAATGCCTCTCTGTAATGGAGAGGTACATTGCTTAGAAATTATAGAAGCACTGTCTTCTGTACTTGATCAAGCAGAACTCTTTAGACATTAGAGAAGACAGATTAATTTGATGTTCAGACTAACAAATGCCTCTTCAATATAAAATTAACAAATTTCCTAGTTTTCATATCTAGGTTTGTTTAGGTTGAAATATACTTTATAAGACAATGAAAGGTGGCTTCAGGTGCCCTAAAGCTGTGATATTAAATTAAACACTTTAGGAAACAGGCTGTTGTGTTAAATTGATGAAGAAAAAAAAAAAAAAAAAAAGAAGTAAAAAAATGTGTTTTGATAAATACCTAGCTCTTGAGGATCTTAAAACAAAGCTGATATTTTTGAGTTGTCAGCCTCATGATGTGTACATTTTAATAGGATAATGTACTGTATATTTCATAGATAGCACTTTCATATAGTATTGATGCCTACCTCAAATTAATCTCTCAATAATATTCTGTTTTAATAATGTAGCTTGATGTTACCATTAAAATTAGTATATTTTTCACAAAGTAATTTTGTGGAAAAGTTCAGTCTGCTAGCCATAGAATTTAAACCCGGATTCGATAAGACTGAAGTTTCTGTGTCTTAGTGCATTCAGTTAGAAATACGATAAATAATGCTCAAATGTTGCTATAAAATTCAAGTCTTTAGGTAGTAGTAGACGGTTAGAATTTAAAAATGGATTTAAAATAGAATTTAAAAATAGATTTTAAATCTTGATAAACAGCAATGGTAAAGTCTAGTTTTGTCTCAATCAAGTCTGTAGGAGTTTTACCTTTCAAGAAAGATTTTAACAAATACCCAGTGGGCTGCATATGTGAGATGTGGCATAGCTCATGCAGAAACAAAGCATGTTTAACTTATTGTTCCAGTGAAAGATTAACTACACTGACAGTATTCTCCAAGAATATGTGGGTTTTCCCATGTAATATAACTAAAATATAGGCAAAAACATATTTTAAGGTTTGATAATGCATCTAGAGTGGATTCTTCAATGTGCTCAGGGAAGAGAAAGTTAATAGTAAAACTCCTGTGTAAAAGTCTTTGGATAAAAAAATCTTGGTATGTGCTATAGTAACTTTGTAGAGTCTTCTTAAATGCAAATCTGCGGAACACTGTGTGGGACAAAATCATACTACTTTCTCCAGTAAATGTAGAGTAAATTCAAAAGATTCAAACAAAAATATTTCAGGAAATACATTTGAAAGCAAAATTTCGAAATTTATTCACACAGTTATCAGGAAGTTATACAAAATACAATTTAACTGATTATTTTTGTTGTATATTTAATTAATCTATAATTTCAGATGAAACAAAAGTGTAGCACTTCGAAGTAAATTACTGTCACTGCTTTTGTTTGAACTAGCAAAATGTGGGTGAGAACATTTAGTGCTTACTAGATCTTCTTACTGAAGAATCTGCTCAAGGACCTGCTCAAGGTCTTTCTGAGTTGTTTTAAAAGTTTGACTCTCTCCTGACTCATCTGATTCCCTTTGTCACTCTCTAATTTGGCTCAGAGTGAATGTGCACAAGTTAGAATTCTTCTTCCCTGATTTCTTTTAAACCTGAGCAGAGAGACCGTGTTTCTGTCAGCAGAGTGTGCATGTGTTCTTGGTAGAAAGCTGGTAATTTTCTGACTTGGGTGAAAATTCACAGGCAGTAATAGTAGCTGTTAGTTGTTTTATCCAGTCTTTAGCTATGGTGTTACTGTTTTGTCTGAAGCCAAATTGCAAACAATGATTTTGGGGTGGTTTTTTTTTTTAGTACAGGGGGGGTTTTCTTAGTACTTTTTCTTCCTTTTTTCTGCTTGTGGGAATTTGTTGTGACTCAGAAGTTTTCTAAACATGGCTTTAATAAATAGAGAATTTAATATTTTTCTTTTACAAAAATGAACTTGTGTAACATTTCTCTGAACTTGTTTTTCATATATTGTCATCTATATTGCCTCAGATGGCAATGGGGACTTTTTTTACTATGCACTGTTTTGTAAAGTTCATTAAGTTAGTTCAGTGTATATATATAAATGAAAAACTTCAAGAATCATTACTGAAAAATACCTATCTAATCATGACTTTACTTACCATTGAATTTTTTGAGAGAAACCACTGTAATCCAATAAAAATTAGACCTGGAGATCATACAGATGGATTGTTATTTTTTTTTTTTTTTCCGGAAGTAGTCTGAAAACTAACCCCTAATAATAAAACAAATGTTATTGTGCCTTTGAAGGTTAGAATCACTTGGTATTTATTTATTTAATTATTTATTTGAAGCTAAAAGCAGACGGCAGTCAAAACCATATAAGCCTAAAAAAATTATTAAAATGGAAGGAAAGATCGTCATATCTACAGCGTGCAATAACGGAAGCAGTTCTGTAATTTCAAAAGATGGAGAACTCTACATGTTTGGAAAAGATGCCATTTACTCTGATAGTACAAGTAAGTTAATATTTGTCTTTTAAGTGATTTCTCAACTACAGTAATTGAAATTTAGTCTGAAGGTTTTTGACCTGTGGAAATGATGTGTGTGTTTCTTAAACTCCTAGTAGATTTCTGAATTTCTTGTGATTCCTTGATTTCTTGTGATTCAGTCAAATAAGACTGAGGGATAGGAAGAGAAGACAATTTCCTTAAGTTCTGTAAAAATAAACGTTAGCAACGGTAACAAATACCCAAATGAATGTTTCCACTATGGGAAAAAAATAAAATAATTTGTTGTACTAATGTGACACTAGAAGGCCACGCAGGGAAGAGTCGTAGAAGTGAGACATGTTTTGTTATGAGGAAGGCTGCAGGAAACCAAGCCTTCTGAGTTTCTCTGCTCATAAGACAGCCTGTTTTGAATCTGCAGGTGAACCAGTACCTCTTGATTTGAATAAAATTAAGTTAAAGAAATAAACTCCAACAGCATTATGACTCATTCGGAATTGTTTTTCAGAACAAGTGATGATTTGTAGTAGGGTTTGGTTTGGTTTTGGCTTTCCTTTCTTTGCAGGACAAATGACCTAGGCCTAATTCTCCTTTTACTACTTATTCTAGCTGTTGTTCTCCCTGCTGTTAATTTAAAAATTGTCAGTATCCACTAGCAATTTTGTTACATTGCTGAAGCTTCCTTCTCAGGTAGAAAGTGCAATTTACCACTCAACTTTTTTGTCTTACAGGTTTAGTAACAGATTTGAAAGGCCATTTTGTGACTCAAGTAGCTATGGGCAAAGCTCACACCTGTGTGTTAATGAAGAATGGAGAAGTTTGGACATTTGGCGTAAATAATAAAGGACAGTGTGGACGAGACACAGGCTCCATGAGCCAAGGAGGAAAAGGTGAGGGATCTACACTTTTTGTTTTGTGTGCTGGAAAATATCAGAAGTGAAAACGTATAGCTAAACGTTTTATTATAATTCCAATACTAAAGCTTAAGTACATGTAGCGTGCTTAAAAAAACCAGGTATGGATGTTTTCACTTCAGCTGTCAGGTGTTTGGTGTTCTGCACATGCTAATTAACTTAGTTATGTTAAAAAAATAATGATCTCAATCACATTTTTTTTTGTCAGAGAAAAAGCTTTTCTTTAAAGCAAATGAATAAAATCAAACCTCATTACTTCCTGTCTTACTATGTGCCATTGTCCTAGTAAGAAAATTTTTTCTACCTTTCCTTGTTTGCATTCAGTCTTGAGGCTGTTGTTTGCCTAAACAGGACATGAATGCCAGTCTACATCTTTCTCCACACAACTAAGTATTTCTGTTACTCCTAAATATAGGTATGAAAGATCAGACCTATTCACCTTTGCAGGATAGGAATGTTTTATGCATGACAAGTAAATGACCTATTAATTGTATACTGAATATAAATGTTTGATTTCCTTTTTAGTTGTGAAATCTAGATATATATCCCAGCCTATGCTCAGAGAGGTTTCAAAGGTGTCATTGTGCTGGCTGAGCATGCAAATCAGGCATGCCTAATCATTGCTTTTAAAATCTGATCTGCGGGTATTCTTGGGACCTTCCTCAGTAGTCACTGTTGGCCTCAGAAAACAGCTATTTTTTGTTTCAATATCTTCATTAGGTTTTGGAGTTGAGAACATGGCAACAGCAATGGATGAAGACTTAGAAGAGGAGCTGGATGAAAAAGATGAGAAGTCTATGATGTGTCCTCCAGGCATGCATAAATGGAAGCTGGAGCAGTGTATGGTGTGCACTGTGTGTGGAGATTGCACAGGCTATGGAGCTAGCTGCGTTAGTAGTGGGCGTCCTGACAGAGTACCTGGAGGGTAAGCAAACATATGGAAATGCACTTGCTATAGTGCCGTGAATGACTAAAGTATATGTGGAATGTAAACTGAGTTGATGTGTTCTTAAACTTCAATCTAAGATAACATTATATCTGAAAAGAGTCTGTGCTTTTAAAATCAGAAGTAAGTTAAAATTTTTGTAAAGAGCTGTGATGGTTGCAGGTGATTTACTTTTAAATGCATTTTTTTACATTTCTTTAGCATGTAGTTCTTCACTAGAAGCTGTTGAATACGCACACTAATATAATCTGTCTCTTTACAGAGCTGCTGGCTTTGGGATAACCCTTCTTTTTTTTTTCCTACAACAGAAGTATTTTATCTTTTTATTCCAGTTGCTTTTATCTGTTACTTCAGGGTTGAACTACATAAATGACCATGGCTTTACATATCATCCTTGCTATTTCTCCAACTTTGCATGCACTCATTGTTTCCTTGTTCATGTTTTCATGTGGTGTATGTTTTAATTAAATGAAGAAAAGTTAATGCTGAGATGTTAAATCAGATATGTATGGTTAGTGTATGCTCTCTGGCACAGTGGAACAGCAGCTAGGATTGAAACTAGCTATACTTTCTGCTTATCTCAGGAAAAATTAAATGTCCACAGATAAAACAAACTAATAATGTGTGTTTTAATTGCCAAGGCATCAGTAATGCATGAAAATAAGATAGTGATAAAGCAACTGTGTTTGCTGCAGAATCTGTGGCTGTGGCTCAGGTGAGTCGGGCTGCGCTGTATGTGGCTGCTGCAAGGCGTGTGCTAGAGAACTGGATGGCCAGGAAGCAAGGCAAAGAGGAATCCTTGATGCTGTAAAAGAGATGATACCTTTAGATCTCTTGCTGGGTAAGTAATGTGAATTTAGCAAGATGATTTTTAATTTTCTTTCTTACTGCACTTTTTTTTTTCTTCATTGCATCTGTTTACACTCTTTAAACTCAATCCCGCTGCTGACTTTTGAAACTTGAATTGGAATAACAAGTTAGTTTGGAAATAAATTTGTTTGTTCTTTTCAGTTAATATTTCAGTTAGTATTTTGATTCTTCTGTGTTATGAAAAAATTTTGTACCTTAAATAATGTAATTATTTCTTTCCAATCAAATTACTGAACTTTTAGACTTACAGGACAATTTTAGTCTAATATTGTTAAAATAGATAAAATGTTGTTTATCAGGCAGATTTTTTTTTTTGGTGATACAGCAAAGTGGGATCATTCTGGTAAGTGAAATATTTTACTATGAACGTATGTGCCATTTTGACCTGTGCAGTTATGATACTAATGCTGATACTACAAAGTTGTTCTTGTCCTTTTTCGATAGCCTGAAAATTTTTCTGTAATGTCTTTATCAGGATTTTTTTGCAGTCACATAAAAGATGGGGAATATTATTTCTTCAAGACTTTTTTTTTTCTCTTAGTAATTTTCAGAGAGAAAGAACTGTCAGGAATATGGAAATTCCTTTAAAAAAAACCCAAACACCTCCCAGCCCACTCTCCCTACTCGAAAACACCCACCTTAGGGAAAAAAATACCAACTGATATGATAATTGGAAAATGCAGTTTGGGCTCTTGCCTTGTAAGATCTTTTATCACAGCATTTTTAATATTGTATTCTCGTACTCAACAACTGGGCAATTACAGGCTTTTGGAGATCTGACTTTCCTTCCTTAGTTTTTTTGTATATTTAGATTTACATAGAGCTCTTAATCCTGCATGGTTGTATGGATATATTATCTGGTATAGAAAAGGACCATAAAATAATCAGATGCATGACTTAAAATATTTATACATATCACCAATTTATCTAAGGGAGGAGGGAATAGTAATAATAGAAAATTAGATGCTATACTTTGAGTGTGTGTTTTTTTTTTTTTCCCCCCCAAGCAAAAGTTAAATAGAAACAAAAAAGTGGTTCTCCTGGTAAGTTAGCACTAAGGATCCCAAATGACATTACTGTGCAGTCCCGATACTTCCATACAGATATTTCTAAATGTAATTTGCTTGTGTATGGCTAGCACAGAAGTAGGTTTATACTGATGGTGAATGTGGCAATGACAGCTCTGCTTCACAGCTCTAGTCTGATGCATGACCAAGGAGGAGTTATATTTTTTGTGCTAACCTCCACTTTGCTAACTCCTCTCCTAGCAGGATAGACAACAGCTCTTGGTCCTGTGCTGGGCCTGGCATAGTTTGAGGTGAGGGCGTTGACCACATTTGTCTAGAGGAAAGCGACAGTGCTTCCAGGTGGAGTTTTTGTTTGATAGCGGGAGCAAGATATATATTTTTAGATTGTTGCGATTTGCTGAAAAAACATTGGAAAAAGGTAGTGCTTACAGTAGTTTTATTGTTGCATTCATTGAAATCATGTATTCTGGTTTAAAAAGTGCTTATCAATTTTTTTCAAATTCCTATTAAATTAGATAGTTTGTTAAATAAGTGAGATTTACATTCAGATGTATACATGCATTAAAATAATTGCATACTTCTTAGTACACGCAGAGCGTATAGTGGTAAGGAAAGCACTCTTGAACTAAAAAATATCTATTTAAAACTTTTTAAAAAATGTAGGCAATTTTATGTGTTTTCGTAATAATCCTTTGAAATTTTTTGGGGAAAAATTGAGACATGACAACACATAACTAAGTATAAATATGTATATGCCTAATAGAAAGAAAATACTAAATACTATTCAATGATATTAGAATTGTGGCAGATTCTTGAAAATGCAGAAATTCAGAGATAAGGCCTAAAACTCTTCTCTAAATTTGCTCAACTCCTTTCTATATATTGTGTCAGAGCCATGTAAAGAGGAGGTAGTAAGTACGCTTCAGTTTTCATTTAGTTAAATTCCCCTATGATTTATTAACATCATAAAAAACTTTTCAGTATAGTTTTACACATTTTATTTTCTTAACCTATGTAGCTGTCCCTGTTCCTGGAGTTAATATTGAAGAACACCTTCAGTTACGACAAGAAGAGAAGCGGCAACGTGTAAATAGGAGACATAGGTTGGAAGAAGGAAGGGGTAAGTGACTTCCTTATTGATGAGAGAGAGGCTTGAGTAATTTAAGCAAATGTCTTAGTCTCTTTTCTAAGAATGGAAGTCAATTAATTTTGCTCCAGTGAGCCAATACAGTAACCAAACAAAAATTGGAACCTAAATAGCTAGCTTATGTTATTCAGCATGCTTTTGAAAAATTGTGAAAAATCTGTATAATGAAGTCTGTTCATAAGAATCAGAATTTTAATGGTGAAGAGTAGTATTTTCTGTCACTTTCATGTAGTCAATTTTCATTTTTTTCTGTTTCCTAGTTGAATTATGCTTTTAAAAAATGTAGATGCTAAAAAACATTTTTATATGAAGAGTTGAAATGATTGCAAGTCTGTCCAGTGCTAGTCACATATCTAATATGAATTATTTAATTATTATTATAAATTATTGAATTTTTGTTGTACAATAGTAAGCAGAATGTCTTTTTTTATAAAATGAACTGTTCTATATTTGAATAGTATGAAAAAACTGAGACACTGAATTAAAAAAACAAAACAAAACACCGCATTGTTAAATTTTCTTGCTTTATGTATTATCTAACTCAGGAATTATTGTTGATTTTCCACACAAACAATGTGTACCTTAACAGCTTTTCAGTACTTTTCCTGTTTTAAAATACCTCAGTGTCTTAATCTGGTAAATAATTAAAGTTAAGAGATTTAGACTGATATATATCATAATATTTTAGTGAAGCATGATGATATGGTTGGTAAGATTATCGTGTGTTCGGAAGAGGAACAACTTTATTGGAATGTTATGTAAATACCAATTTGATTCTCCTTTTAGGAATTAGATACTGGTTTTACTCAGATACAAAACGTGCATTGTGCTCAAGTTTAGTTCCTAGACTCCGTGCCAGTGAACCTTGTGGGGGAAATTGTGGCTTCATTTCACTTGTATGTAAGAAATTACTGGTATTACCACAAGTAAGGAGCAACAAGGAAGAGAAAGCTTATAGCTTCCTGTATATGTAGAAAAGGATGGAATGTTTATTTCTGTTTGAATATTTGTGGTTAATTTTAGCTGTGAGGTGGAGAGAAGCCTTTTTTCTTGCTTTGTCTAGGTCATGTTGGAACTGCATTAGATACTGCTGGCAAATACTAGGTACAGCTAACAATCATTCTTTTCTTAAATGTTCATTGAATGCCCAGATACTATTGAAAGCTGCTGCTGTTCAGCCCAGAAAGGTAATGATGACAGAGCTGGGAGGTAAATTTCAGTTCAGGGAAAGGAGAGAGAGAAAGGAAAAAAAAAAAAACCCACACACAAAAAGCAACCAAACAAACAAAAAAAACCACACACACAAAACCAACAGAGAAACATTTCAGTTTGCTTCCATTTCTGTGGTCAGAAGTAGAACTAGAAGAGCTTATCCCTTTTGCATGCCATCTGTCTTGTAAAAAAAAAAAAAAAAAAAAAGTTTTGCATCTAACAGTCTCAGATGATCAATATCAGGAATGTATTGTTATTGTTGGCTTGATAGGTGTATAGAAACTGTAGCTAAAAAGATATTTCTGGTCACCTTGTTACGTACATCGATATTATATTCTGTATCAAAAGAACATTGAAATTCCAAAGCTATGTGGCTACTGGAGGTAGTGGATATGACTAGTTGAAAGGATTGGAGACTGGTCTCCTGTTTCGGTTCAGAATGACTTATATGGTAAAGCTGGGAATAGTGTTGCACAAATACTTAGAGATCTTGATTTACGTAATCAGGTATGAAAATTTGATTTGATAATCAGTGATGATTTACATAATCAGGTGAAAAAGTTGGAGTTCTGTTGCTGCTTTGTCCAGATGTTACTGTTTTCCATGAGCTGGTGGAAAGAATAGCACCATTCTTGAGAACTCTTATGATACTGCTTTTTTCACAAGAGACCAAGAACACTTAAATAATATACTAGATTTTCATTTTGCTGTGCAAAAGGTTTTGCAACCTGAAAAAACTTAGGTATGCTAATGTTAAAAAGAAATGGCAGACTACTTAGTTTCCCCAAAAGTTCTAATATTTGTGCATATGTAACTGAACAAATCCTTGCTAATGAAATAGCTGTTTAGACATCCAATGAAAGGTTTCAACCTTTCACTTCTCTGAAAATGTTGCTTAGTCAGTTAAAAGCCAGATTAGCCCTGTTAGGGTCTTTCCTTCAGGCCCACAGTGCTTTGTTGATCAGGACTATGATTTCTAGGTTGTAGCATATTAACGTGTGACTCTTGTTCTTTTGTGCCAGATCAGAGAGAAATAAAGCATGGGTAGTTTTTGATAGTCAAGAATAGGGTCTATCATGGAATGTTGCTGATGACTCTTTAATTACTATTGGTGACCTTTATTCAATACAAACATTTTCAGTAAATCTTGAATGTCTTATAAACAAGAGAATTATGAAAGCTTTTTAAGTAAATATAGGAATACTTCATTCTCAAAACAAGCAAGCAAACAAAACAAACAAAAAGATCACAAAGAAACCTCTCACCCAATCGCCCACTGAATCTGTTGAAATAGGAGTAAAGCTCAGGACAGAGCTGAGAGACCACAAGTGCTGGAAGTGTACTGATTTCCATGCTGCACGTTTTTAAGTGGTCTAATTGTTTGTGCTTCTCTCCAAATTTAGTCCTGTTACAGTGACCTCTGATTTTAAATGTATGCTCCAGTGGTCCACTTGAATTAAAGGAGAAAGAGATGGTCATGTCTACAGGTATGACAATCATTTCACTCCTTCATGAGGTCAGTTGTGGTCTCTTGTGTGGAAGATGAGTATGCTCATCTTTATTTGCATTTTTCTGCAAATATAAAGTATGAATTTCAATATTCTGGGAAGTAGTAGATGTCATTAATAGTTGCGATATCAATGGCCTAATTAAATGTTACTATCTTTTCAATCAAGAACAGTTAAGTCCACTCTCAAATATAGTCCAAGTCAAAGTGGCCTGCTACTGTTGTAAAGGATCTGTACATATGCTGTTCAGCAGCATGGAAAAATGTTTCAGTTTGGGATAATCTATTATTTTGAAAAAACCCTAAGAGTTTATTAATTTTGGTTATATTTTTTCATTGTTTTCAGTGCAACAAGTACTTACAGTGTGTTCAGAGGACGAGTTTTGCTGCTTTTCTGTAACAGTGGTAGAGCTGCTTCACTCAGCTGTTTCTTTCTGCTTCTAGCTTAATGGCTGTTGCAGGAGCAGTGAAGAGGACTCAAAATCAATTCAACATTTTGAGTCTGGTGTACGACCTTGAAAAATAAAGCCAGCTGTATTCATCACAGCTTCTATGCTAAATCATAATTTCCCAACATAATTATTGATGGATGTTTCTCAGCTTTTCACTGTCTCTAAAATTCTGGTGAGAAGTGAAATAGCTGATGTACTATATGAAGAAATTTGTTGTTTTTCAAGCTAGTTTAGAGCTTGATGGGAGTGATGGGAAGCGAGCATGAAAGTAGTTGCACTTTATTCTTTTCCGTGGTAATGAGGAAGTTTTGTATGTTAGTGGTTTTTTTTCCTTTCCTATCAAACACCTTTTTTTTTTAGTCTTGGAGGCATTAAATTATGCCTTAATAGATTACAGAAATCCCAGGGCCACATTGTACGATTAATGTAATGAACCTAAGATTGCCATTTACTGAGTAAATCTTGAAAGCTGTTCCTGCAACTTTTTCAGATTAATATTTGAATAGAATTTAGAATTAGTCAAAATTTCAGTTTATTGCTTAATCCTGGTTTTTTTTTTTTCAGAAGGCTGTGAGAATGTGAAAACAGCTTTTTAAACAAACTATTTTTAACTAAGAAGCTAAAAAAATACGGCAATAACTCTTAATATGATGATAATAACTGGTCTCATGGTTCACTGGTATTTCACCAATACTTTTTCTGAGCCTATGATGTAAAAGCTAATGATCATTTAGATGGTCATTGCTGAGATACAGATTCGATTTGTAATTAAGCAAGATTTAGCTTTGGATGCCCTTACAGAAAAGGAAAAAAATTTTCCTTCAGTCTTACTCTACTTGGAACAAAAAAAAAATCCCACAGGAAATTGATTAATTTTAGTCAAAACTGCAGTGTATTGAGACAATATTATCTGAGACTGCCTGTATTTGGGCAATTTTTTGTTTTTCTGAAGTGTGACTGATTCAGTATTTAGTTTTACTGTGCTAGGCTGAGTATCATAAATCTGTTTAACATCTAGCCATGCCACTATTGCCTTGGAGTCCGTTTGTCAGTAATACTGCTATTTGTTTGTTGCTGAATGTATACCTAAATATACAGCAGAACTATCTATTCAAAGCCAGTGTTTTTCATTAAATATTAGTGCAGCTTCTTTGCATAGTTTTAGTTAAATATTTATTTTTATGCTTTTATGACCTGGAGGTTGTATTTGTTTCAGTTTCTTTAAACAAACCAAAAGCAAACAAAAAACGCCTCTTTTTGCTTAAAACAAAATCAAATCTCCATACTTGACTTTCTGGTTAAGAATGCTTTCAAGAGAAAGCTGTAGGTTTTTGTCCTTAATGACCAGCAGATATAATTCTAAAAGAGGTGATTATTCTTGACAAAATTATTTTTGAAGTAGAAATATTTATGTTTCTATTAGAGTTTTACAACTTAGGTTTGCAATAGACTCAATGAGAACAGTTCTGGTTTATATTTCATGTTTTGATTTACCTTATGTGTTTATATACAGAAATACATCTTTCATATTTATTTAACAATATATACAAAATCAAGTATTCAGGATAGAGAAAGTGATAAAATTATGATTATCGTAAGACTTCGTTCCATCTCATTATCGCACCCAAATTGCCCTGCATGCTTGTATCTGCTAGCCTGCATCTCTTTTTCCCTGTTAGAAACCCTGATAATTTCTCTTCCACATCTAATTTGTATGATTTATTTGTCAGTAGAAAAGAGCTTTAAAAACGCAGGAAGAGGCATGTATTCTGTTGTTATTTTCAGTGTTTTGAACAAAAGAA